ACACTAAATAACAGAGTTACTTTTTGCAAAATGGTGCGAAACGACGGAAACAAACACAGTTAATTTTCATTTAAAAAAAAGACGCGCGGTGCATAATCGATTATGCACCGCGGTGCATAATATAATTTGTCCCGTTTTATGGTCCTTTTTCGGTGACTAATAATATATGCATCCCTAAATAGTAAATACTGTCACAAGCATATTCAATTTCTGTTTTTCCCTTGAAATTAATTAATTTAAATATTAAAAAAAACACCTTATATTAAACGTCATGATGTATTTTGATATTTTTAAGATAAGAAAAAGAAATCTAAGGAATTAAGTATAAGAAGCTTAAATTAACTAGGGTCATCATAACAATCTGCCCATACTATACTAATTTGGTGCATTCACATGCATTCACAACCAACCCATACTAATAATGCCCATCGATCCAACACATCAATTTTTCTACCTATTAGTCTATTACACATATATTGGTATTCACATGCAATGGCAAACAAACCTTAATGCTACACAAATTATTAAGCAGATCTAATACTCAGATCCAATTCAATTATGTGTGGATGCACGTACACACATAAACAATTAGATAAATCACATCCTATATTTAATCATTATTTTATATTCTGTTTAATAAAATGAAATCAAGTTACTATCAAATTGCACATGAAAAATTCTTGACTTCTTGTAATATATATATATATATATATATATATATATATATATATATATATATATATTATGTAGTTAGCTAGATTTAAATCCAAAACTTTAGTGAGAATTTTCATTCGATTAGTATTTTTAGTTAATTTCAAAATGAATTAACCAAAATTTTATTTTAGGTTAAATCAAATTATATTGTTGGTCCTTAACAATTTTGGGTGTTGAAATGTGGTTCCTAAGGTGAAATGTGATTGGTTACTTCACTTGTACATATATTGAAATAGTCTAAATGCATGTATACGTATAGGTTAGAGGCGAGCAATGAATGTTGGCACGGGTCCTTCGTGAGTTAGTGGTGTACAAGTAACCTAACATTCAATAAAATAAATATTAAAAAAATAATTGTTAATTCTGAAAGAATTAATTAATTACTCCCTTCTTATTCTAATAATAAACAAAAAGCACCCAAACTTTACGAAATTACCATGGGAGATTGGGAGGGAGGACCATTTTGTACCTTTTTATACAGTGAAATGGTCCTTGTTTGACCGTCGTCAAAGGCTGAAAATTTCTATACAATTTAAAGAATGGCAAAAAAGGGTTTCCTATGCTAGTAATTTTTTAAAGAAAAATATTCATAAAACTTTTTGCTTATGAAAAATTATCAAATTTAATTGTGCTTTATTTTTTTGGATAAGGTGTGTGGAATCGGACACTAGTATTATCGATTTTTTACAATAATTTTTTTTTTTTTATTTAAGAAGGCCAGAACGATCATTCAATATAAACTGCACACTACTTTTGATACTGGTTCCTCAACATCCCTCCAATCCACATTTTGAGACGCAATCATATTAGTCAGCTTGTCACCAACATAATTCGACTCGTGAAAGACATGATTAATTGTGACCTTCCCATTCTTGTTCACCATTTCTAATCTCAATGATATTCCATAGCAGACACAATAGGCAATATAATGGCAAGATGCCCCTCCCAACTAATTCACCGACTTCTTTATATATAGTCACTTTGTACAAAATAAAAACTTGCAAAATGTTCATTAAAAAGAAAAAAACTATAAATGATTACGGAAATCAAACTTAGCTTAAATCGTTTTAAATAAAGTTAGCCACGTTATTACTAACTCATCCAATAATATGAATGGTGAATAATGAAGTATCATTAACATGGTAATTAATAAGGGGATTAGAGTGATCTAATGTATGGTGGAAAATCTATCCACACAGGTGGCGTCATTATCATAATAATCTTTAAATTTGTTGTTGCGGGTTGCATCATCATCATAATTAAGTAAATAATAATATGATGGAGAGAATCAGCTTTTTGTTCGTGAAATATGCATGAATTTGCGAGACTCATGTGCAACGTAATTATGAAACTAATCGAGCTTGTCAAAACACTCTCAAGTCTCAACCAAACGCACCGCCATCTTTTATTTTCCTTTTTGGAAAATAATAAGTTCAGAAAATCTTTTCAAAATTATATAAATTTTTGTATTAATTATTTTTTTTTGAATGCTACTAGCTCTATTACATTGTAGTATCTGTTCATATACTTTCTCAACCTACTGAAACACAAAGAGCCAATAACGCCTCCACTGAGGCTCGAACTCACAACCTTCCAAATGGAAGTCCAACCCGGATAATATTATTACCGTCAATGTTAATAATATTATTATAATCTTTTTTACTTACTTACAATAGGTTCAATTTTATATTTTTACACACATTCTACCATCCGAGAATCAGTATAATTAAGCTACATTTGATGCGAGTTTCTTCCTATTTAACCAATCTTAGAGAAAAAAATATATATAATTTTTCATATTTATTAAATATGAATTGATAAACATGACCATAATTTACTAAAAAAATTATGAGAAGAGGTATTAAATTGTGCTATATTATAAATAATATTACCTTTATCAAAATTCGAGTCTATAAATTAAAATATCCACTCAACATTCTCCCTTATTATATATGTGTAAAGTGTGGATAATATAGAGTACAACCATATGTAATATATAATGTTTGGGTATTATTACTACTAACACGATAAAAAAATCAATAAATCAGCTTAAGTTATCCATAAAATAAAAATCAAAAAATTAATAAATGACTGCTCCAAACGTAAGTCAAACTTAGAACCTTATATTACCAAGTCAAGTAATTAACCGCTTTTACCAGTTCAACTACATTGCTAATTTGTCAATATATTATTGTCGTATATATATTATTGTGGTAATTGGTAAAGATTCATAGGTTTATCCAATCCGTAATCATAGGATCCAATTTCGACCATTATACTCGAATTGAATAACAAATTTTCATTATTGCATAATATATAAAAGAGTAAAAGACATTTTTGGTCCTAGACTTATAATGGTACGGACAATTTTAGTCATTCATAAAAAATTTAGACAATTTATGGACACACTTATTGTGACGCGGACAATTTTGATCCTCCATCTATTAATCTCGTTAGTTGACTGTCAAATGAGGGACATTTGTGTCAATTCAGCTTATTCTTTTGATCAAATAAGGGACTTTCATTTGGAAGATTGTGAGTTCGAGCCTTAGTGGAAGCGTTATTGGTTCTTTGTGTTTCAATAGGTTGAGAAAGTATATGAACATGTTATTTTGCATTTCCTCTGATGGATTAGACTGACAGAAGATTTGTTTTACCCAGTCCGATACAAAGGTAGAGAAACAATAATCTCACCTAAGTGCCTCACACAAGGTACGTACGTACAGACAGAAGATTTGTTTTACCCAGTTCGATACAAAGGTAGAGAAACAATAATCTCACCCAAGTGTCTCACACAAGGTACGTACGTACAAAGGTAGAGAAACAATAATTTCACCCAAGTGCCCCACACAAGGTACGTACCCAGTCTACACAGGTTTAGTGGATTGTTGAAGTTGGAGAGCCATGCATACAAAAGTCCAATGAAATCCCTTCACTTAGAAAGCTAACTCTGATGCAGTCCACTTCAGTGACGCAGTCCAATGTTGTTCCCACAACTGTGTGATCTTAGCGTCCTTTCGTTTAAACAACGATATCTCTTCTCAACTTCTTCATCATAATCACCAAGAACAAATTGTCTTGAGAAGAGGCATGATAATCAAAGATGTGATCTTCAGTATAGTTAGGAGTCTTTCTTTCTTCTTAAAAGCGTAACCCTAATTCATGACCGAATGAGGGTACTTATACTTCCATAGCAGGAATACTCTCCAAAAATGTCTCTGATTGTAGATGGTAGGACGATATGTGAAGGATGTAATCTTAAAGATTCGGTCCATACATTTTCAAGACAGATCCGCTGATATTCTTTCCAAAGCTGACTTCTTATACCGCGTTCAGTGAAAAGGAAACATCTTCCTAAAACAGATCTTCAGTGTCAGTACGCCTGTTGCTGTATCTGATCAATCAGTCTTCTGTAAAATAAACTGACACCAAGCTAACCCTATCTTAGTTTGCCATAATAATATTGTCAATTATATGTTGGGGTTTTTTGGAGCAATTAAAACACTAACAGAACAGATACTATATTGTAATAGAGAGTCAGTAACATTAAAAAAAGAAAAAAAAAAGAATCAAAATAAAATCCAAATGCTGCATCTTGGAGTTTTGTATAGAAATTACTCCTATAAGTGGAATCGGAAAGTAGCCTTATTATATACCGCAATGGTTCCAAATGACGACAAGGGAAATGTTATTTATGTATAAAATTGTACACATAAATTTATATGTACTACTTTAACTTTGCAAATTTTTATCCCATGCCATTCTTATTTTCATTTTTATATATCGGTGACTAAAATTAGTATGTGTAAAATTTGATACAGTAATCGGTAATTATAAAGTTTCAAGTTTAATTCTCAGTGGGAACGGTTTATTAATTTTCTTGGGTTGAGCTAGTCCACGTACTATTGACAACAACCTAGCAACGCTTATTTACCTTTTTATGATTTTTTGTCGGTTAGGTTCACAATACGAGACTTATCTTGTTTATATCATCAAGTAGTGATATTGAATTTCTCTTATTATTTTTAAAAAGAAAAAAAATAGTACTAATGATTGTCGTGATGGTTATATCACGTAAAATGAAGGTGTTACAACATACTATAGTCTAATTAATATGGATATACCATAGTGGTTTGAAATCATGTGTTAAAAGCAGGTCATGTTCTACCCATTCAAAAACTCTTTCACTTTCAATTATCACAAATCTTTTTATTTTTTTATTTTTTATTTTTTTCCATTAAAAGGTAACGCTTTGTATAATTGTATCTATCTTCGTATCTACTCCATCCTATATATATATACATATACACACATTTTAACCCTTAGAAAGCTTCGTGTAAGAGACCTCTATTATATTCAGTTTTTTATGATGTCCACCATAGCTAAAGATGAACCGGACTACGATAGTAGCTGTTCGTCGGCAACGGTGCCGGATTCGAGCCGGAGCTGGATGAGCAACATGAGCTTCAGCAGCCGCCGGAGTTCCATTTCCGTTTGCTCCTCCAACGACACGGCGTATTACTCAAACAGTCACAAGCCGCACAAGGCGAACCAAGCGGCTTGGGAAGCCATGAAGAGGCTCCGGGCCGACAAAGGTGGCCAGGTCCGGCTCGACCACTTCCGCCTCATCCGCCGGGTCGGCAGCGGCGACATCGGGAACGTGTACCTCTGCCAGATACGGAACCCGGTGGTGGGGCTGCCGCCGTGCTTCTACGCCGTGAAGGTTGTGGACAGGGAGGCGTTGGCTATAAGGAAGAAGCTCCAGAGGGCGGAAATGGAGAAGGAGATCTTAGCCATGCTTGACCACCCTTTTCTCCCAACGTTGTACGCTGAGTTCGATGCTTCCCACTATTCTTGTTTGGTTATGGAGTTCTGCCCCGGTGGGGACTTGCACGCCGCTCGACAACGCCAACCCGGAAAGCGCTTTTCCCTTTCTTCAGCTAAGTATGTATTCCGTATTATTCATATAATACTATTTAATTATACCATCATATATATATATATATATATATATATATATATATATATATATATATATATATATATATATATATATACACACACACATGTTGGGTCTCATTTGATTCTGAGGAGTAGATTGTGGGTAAGGATTCATATTGGAGTCTTTGCCGTCATAGTGTGTGAGTTATCCTGATGCGATGGACATCTTGTGGGTACCAACACTGGTTCTATCATCTAATAAGCTCAGAGGGAGTATACTGGACCCATAATCAACTGAAGCACAAAGAGTCAATATCGCTCTCACTTAACCTCGAACCATGACCTTCCATATGGGGAGCCACTAGACCACCCGATTATTGGCAGATAGCTTAGTTGGTTTCTGATTGATAAATTATAGGCAATGACACATGATCGAGTCCTATTCAGAGTTATCCTAATGTACAGTATGCTGAGCCCACAATAGTATCTTAATTGGCTCATAAATAATAGATTGTCGATAAAGATACATGATCAAGTCGGAATAGTGACCTGCAATTTGAAATTATCCCCATATTATGGGCTCTTTGTAGCACCTAGCACATATTAATCTTTTCATCTAATTAGCTACTGAGTCACTGCCGGGTTATGTAGGGGTATACATATCCAAATAGGCATTTTAGTATTTGTTGATGTTGGAAAAGAAAGTAAATAAATAAATGAATACTAAGTTTGTGGAAAACAACTAACTACTACTGTTGCAGGTTTTATGCAGCAGAAACACTACTAGCATTGGAGTATCTACACATGATGGGGATTGTATATAGAGATCTGAAACCAGAAAATGTGCTAGTAAGAGAAGACGGTCACATTATGCTCTCAGATTTCGATCTCTCTCTCAAATGTGAAGTTGTCCCAAGGCTCATCAAATCCAAAGTTGCACCACACAAATCCGCCATGGAAACCAACATAAAGCCCACTGCATGCTCCTCACCTTCATGCTCTCTCCCCATTCGCCCAGTACTCTCCTGCTTCTCCTCCGCTAAGATCACAACAAAAACCATCAGAGAACACGCCGACGGCGCCGGCGCCGGCGAAGTAGAGGAAGACGACGAGTATGAGTACTACAATCAAGCAGAGCTGGTGGCGGAGCCCATAAACGCCAGGTCAAAGTCCTTCGTCGGAACCCACGAGTATTTGGCGCCGGAGGTGATCTCCGGCCAAGGGCACGGCAGCGCGGTGGACTGGTGGACGTTCGGGGTGTTCCTGTACGAGCTGGTGTACGGCACCACCCCTTTCAAAGGCGACAACAACGAGAAAACCCTAATCAACATCCTCAAAAAGCCGCTGGCGTTTCCTAGGATGGAGTTCAGCAGCAGCAAAGAGTACGAGGAAATGGTTAAGGTTCAGGACTTGATAAGCAGATTGCTGACGAAGAATCCGAAGAAGAGGATTGGGAGTATGAGGGGGAGCGTTGAGATCAAGAAGCATGAGTTCTTTAAGGGTGTAAATTGGGCGCTGATTAGGTCGGTCCGGCCGCCGGAAGTGCCGTCGGAGACGCGTCACAAGCAGATTTTGGGGCGGAGTAGGAGCGGCGCCGCTGCCGCGGTGATACCAAAGCTGATGAGCAAGAAGGAGCGAGAAGAACCGTATCAGATCCCACATTATTTTGATTACTTTTAATTTTACTGTAAATCATGAAATAAAAATTCCTAGGTTAATTATGAGTAATTAATTACAAAGGATAGCCTTGTTAATCATATGTTTGACGTAGGAAGCTGAGTGCTTTTTAAGTGTTTTTTTTTTTTTTTTTTTTTCATTTTTTCTTTATTTTTCACTTATTAGTGGGTGATGATCGATCGACAACAACTTTCGTATTGTAAAATTATAAATTTGATAATATATATGCATGAGATATTTTTGTTCATAGATGATAAAATTGAGTAAAGTAAATTTAATTTCATTTCTATATTTTTAATTTACATATTATTTTGTTCATTGGATCTTTTGTATGTGAGTTTGATTGTTAAGCAATGTCGCGATATTGCTAGTGACATTGGGAACATGTCTGTTCACTATATTAATAGATCAGCGAATCATGTAGTTCATATGTTAGCACGGGCAACTGATTCTTTGGATTCTAGATGTCTGTTACACTAACCTGTATTTCGTATTATTAATGCATTGGTTCTTTTCCTTTCCAATATATATATATATATATATATATATATATATATATCTCTTTTAGTTTAGACGGGTTATTTCTTTTTCGTTGTTGATACCAGCAAGAAGAATAATGAAAATATATCTACTTAAATTTAGACTTTGATCCCCATGAACAACTTGATCATAGTGCGCCTTAGAGGAACTTGTTGAACAAGTGGAGGTTATTTTATAGAAACAATTTAATCTAGGGATAATGATCAAATTAATCAAATTATTTGACAAAAATGTAATTATGACACCTAAAAAAACTATAAGTACTTAAATTTTATAAAACACAATTGGACGGGTTGGATCATTGTAACCTATTTTTACATGTCAAGATAGGGTAAATAATGATTTTATGATTTGAACGTCACCTCATTGTACTTCTGTTGATTTGTAATTTTGTATGCATATTTGGTAGATATATTTGTTGTTTTTTTTGTTTTTTTTTTTTTTGTTGTTGTATTAAAAAGAAAAACATGGTTATTATGATATTGTCTTTGCTGTAGGATTGAACAAATTGAAGATGAAGTGATCTTTATATGATCTAAATAAAAACAATCTATATTTAAACAAAGACTAAGATTTTCGCCTAGATTCATTATATTTAAACAATCATCAACAAGGGGCCTAATTTTTTTATTTTTTTTTAAATTCCATTATCTTCATAACTCGATACTCAATCATTTTCTCGTATTGTGTTTTTTTTTTTTTTTTTGCTTTTTTCTTTTCTATTTTTGCATTTCATGATTATATTATAATTTTGCCTCACATTTGCACTCAATTAATGTAGGTGGTGGGCATTGAATTGGATTAAATTTCACCAAATTTTGACAGTGGGTATATGCGTGTAAAGGGTGGAGCAGACCATAATTGTCCCCATGGTTTTTCTCACTTGGGACTCATGACTTCATGTGATACCCATTATTACATTTCTAAATCATGGAAAAATTAATATTGTAATAACATTAACATATACTTATGAATCAACTTCTTTTTTTTCCTCTTTTTGTTAAGATCTCTTACATCCTTTCTTATTATGGTACTTTCTTTCATATGCCAAGCAATTATTTATCTTTCATCTGATTAAAGAATAGATGTGAACCGTACATTAGGAAATTAAACCATTTTTATATTTGCTTAATATATGTTAATCAATTTTGGGTTATGATTATTGTCATTCACTCATTCCATACTCTTTTATCATTTGTAATGATTCATTGGGAATATAATGAAGGAAAGAAAGAAATGTGATTAGTACACATTTTTTGACCGCATTAAAGTCACAAATTTAAGGTTTGACTATCCTTGATTATTGTTTAATTTTTATATAATTTGAGAATTTCTTTCTACAAAACCAGGATGACATTAGATTCTTTTTTGTAATTTAATAATTATTAATTATAACAAAAATTAATTATAAAAAAGTAGTGCTAACCTTAAGGTAAAGAGTTTGGCCTCTATTTGTATATACGAATTATAAGTATCAAGTGTTTTTCCATTTTTTGTTGAATATTTAAGTCTCACATTCTTGTGTGTCAAGTAAAATTAGTTATCATTCTATGCAACCAAATAATCCAATAACGTAACTAGCTCGTACGGGTTTAGCTTAGCTTATTAGTTCAACAAATCTTGACAATGGCAGTGTGAAAATTATGATTAAAGGGAACAGATCATTTGTACACACCAATATTTGATTATGTCAAATAAATACATATTACATTGCAACAGAGTCAATAAAAAAAATCCTTCTCACATATAAATTTTAATTTGAGAGAAAAAGTTAAGCAAGAGATGGAGGAGTAAGCTAGCAAGTTCCCCGTGAGTGGATTCCATTATTTTATACTGTAACAGCAATGATAAAAATTACTTTATTTGTGCTCATAAAAGTCGGGGAAAATCATCCTTGAATTGGTGATGGAAGGATTGTATGTTTGATTTTTCTCCACTGCAATATCTTTTTTCCTTATTTCAACCACAATTAAGTAAAGAATTTTTATTCTCAAATTATGATACATAAAAATTTTATTATATTTCCTTTCAAAAAAATTATTATATTTATATAATTAAAAAAAGAGTAATGTTAAAGTTAAATTACCTATGAGATTCTTATGTTATATGTTTTTGTGCGATTTTAATTAGAATACTTTAAAATTTTATTTATCAAAAATGAATAATTTTAAGGCCAAAGTACACCTATGGACTGTCTATTTTTATGCAATTCATTCAGTATACTTTAATTTTGTATATATAACTTTTTTTTACTCATGCAAAGTACCTATGGTTTCTTTTTTTATTTATTACTTTTCACGACCCTTTACGGAAGTCGCGTTTTTTTAAAGAAATTGCATCCATTTTTTTACAAAGGATCGCGATTTCTTGTTCATTTATTTACGATTATGCCACCACACATTTTTTTAACAATACACTACCCTTCTTTGAAGAAGGGTAGCCTAGTGTCATATTTATTTGCTCTTTTTGTGTACTAGTGGAAGCCGTTTGATGGACTATCAAATTGGTGGATAGCAAGTACTGTTTTTTTTTTTTTTTTTCTTTCTTTGAAAGGGAATAGCAATTAAGTAACCTAGTTGGCTTAGTTTGCAACTAGAGTAAATAGCTACAAATTTCACTTTGTATTATCGGAATACTAGTGGAACATCCTATGTTAAAACTCTAAACCTAATTTTCACGCTCTATTCTTTGAAAAATTGACAAATCTCCTATGTTAAAACTCTACTTTTATATTTTAATTATGGCCAAAACATGCAAGAGACCGTCTCACGAATTCTTGTTCGTGAGACAGGTTGTGTCAAGATGAAATCCATTACTTATAAGGGAAAATATAATAATTTTTATTAAAAAAAGTGACATTTTTATTACATTTGTGTCAAAAATATTACATTTTTCATTATAAGTAACAAACACGTTATTCTTAATTAATTAGTATTACATTTGTTAGTATAAGTATTATATTTACATAGTGACCCGACCCAACACAATCCATCTCACGAATAATGATTTGTGAAACGGTCTCACACAAGTATCACCTTCAATTATTTGTTGAGCTTAAGCACACACTCACTTTCGATTTAATGATACAAAACTTTTTATGCAAAATTTTGTAAGACTTCGCATCACACAAACTCAAAAGCATTTGTAAGGTTTTCAAAATTGTTTAAAATTATATTTACATATATTATATTAGAAGGTAAAACTTGTTTGTATTCTGTTAAAACTAAATATATTTAAAAATATTATTTCAAATATTAGGTTTAAAAAAAGTATTCATATTGTCTGAACTAAAAATAAGGTCTAAATTTTGTTCGACTATGGGTATGGGATGATAATTTTTTTTACATATTATATTCAAAAGTAAAAGTAGGTTGAGAAAGTATATGAACAGATACTACATTGTAATAAAGTTAGTAACATTCAAAAAAATATTCAAAAGTAAAAGTTATATATTCTTAGCTTAAATTGAACATATCTAAAAATATTTTTAATATTAAATCTAAAACTCACTTAAAATTTTGAACTTATGTTATATATTTTGATAATGTTACAATCCAAAAATTGAATTTAAAAAATTGGGGTTGACAAACATGTTTTCAAAGTTCAAAAATAAAATATTGAGACAAAAAAATAGAAGTAACGGACCTTAATATTCTCATATGTTGCATTGTAAAGTTTTCTTCTAGAAGATTAATTATTACCCGGGTTTGATGTTTGAAAAAAAATGTAACTATTTGTCAATAGTACAATTGTACAAATAACAGCTATTAAATACGATGTTGATTTGAAGATCCTCCTCGTTGGTCAGCCTAGAGCCCCCACATTAAGGGATTGGTTCCAACTAGAAATAATTTATTTTTGATATAGACACATTTAAAGGAGTTGTTATGTTGTGCAACTGTGTGCACACGGAATTAAATTTATAATTTCTATACTGTAAATTCATAAAGTCTATACTGTAGATTCATAATTTAAATATAGTAGATTTATAATTTCTATATAGTAGATTCATAATTTCTATACTGCAGATTCATAATATCAGTACTGTAGATTCATAATTTTTAAATTGTATAGTTATCAAATTATAAATATATAGTTTTGTGATTTGTGAATACAGAGTTCAACAATTGGGAATACGAACATAAAAAATTATGAACATATAACTCTATAATTATGAACATATATTTATAAAATTATGAATCTACAGTATAGAAATTAAGAATCTACAGTATAGAAATTATAAATCTAGACTCATGTGCAACATGCATGGTGCACACGGTTGCACAACATAATTTGTCCATTTAAAAGGGCCACATGAAGAAAAAAAATTACATATTACGGGCGTTTGGTTGGAGGGATTTTAAATTCCCTTCCCAATTAATTCTCATCTAATTCCAAAGGCCATTAAATTCCGTAGTTTGGTTGGAGGGAATTGCAATTCCACGCAATTGCAATTCCCCCATTTTCATGGAATTAAAATCCCATGTCCCCCCGTGGTATTTTAATTCCTGGGAAAAAAAGATAGTGATGAGTCAAAATTACCCCTTCCTTTTTTAACTTAAAATTAATGTCTAACAACAATAATGGACATTTTTGACTTTATACTACTTATTCCCTTTCAATTCCCATGTATACCAAACATTGGAATTGAAATTCCCAGTAATTATATTCTTGTCAACCAAACACTGGAATTTAAATTCCCACTTT